TTATTTGTTATTTTTTCAGCTTTACCTAGTTTTATTTAATTTTATATTTGATTTTAATTTTTAAAATTTTATAAATTATTTATTATTCTTGTAATTTTATTTTATATTTTTGTTTTGTTTTATTTTTTATTTCCATTTGGGGTAGGTATTTTAGGTTTTTAGGTTTTATCCTAGTTTATTAAAAATTGTAGTATTTTTTAATTTTGTAATTTTTACTTATTTTGTATGTATGTATTTTAATTGTTTATATTATTCTATTAAAATTTTACTTTTTTTGTTTGCATTCCATATCTATGTATGTAGATATTTTACTACTTATTTTGTTTTATTTCAGTTCTATTCGTTTAATTTTTTTCTTTGAAATGTTTAAAAATTTAATTTGTTCAATATTTTTTTCTATTTTATTAAGGTTTTCCATTTTATTTTATTTCAGGTCGCTACTTTTATTTTATTTCAATTTTAGTGTTACATGTTTAAAAATTTAATTTCTTTAATATTTTTTTCTATTTTATTAAGTTATTCATTTTATTTTATTTCAATTCGCCACTCTATTTCCAATCGTGTGACTTTATTCATACATATGTATGTTAATGTTAATACACACACACANACAGCAACAGCACCTCAACATCCACTTTGCCAGCGCCTGATCCAACAACTCGGGTGGGTTGTGTACTCAATTGGTTTCTTCGGGGCAGAGCGAGAACAGTTGTTCCTCTACAAATGCTCTGCTGTTCAATGCTGCTCTGCTCTGCTTTGTGTAAATTGCCTTTTTTTATTTCATGTTTGAGTTGTTTTCTTGCTGTTGTTGCTGTCATTGTGCTGCTCATACATGTGCTCATTTTTCTTGGCCAGGCCAACGAGGGCCAACACCAAAGGCAAAAAAAAAACATTAACAACAAGAACAACAACACTAATCTACAAGTTCGTGCACTACAGCCAGCTAAAGTAGCAGAGCAAGAGAGCAAATGGGTGAAGGGGGGGTGGGGTCATTTAATAAAACTCCCCACACACTTAAAAGCAGAGCAGGGCAATCATAACAGTAGCAGCGGCAGCGACAGCAAAACTTTAGGCTCTGTTAGTTGTTGTTGCTCTCTTAATATGCGGATAACAGAAGCAGCTAGCAGCACTGATAGCAGCAACAGCGATGATTGCGCTGGCAGTGGCAGCAGCAGCATTAGAGACAGCGATTGGGGCAGCAAAAATTTGAGATTACATTTGCCTTAAACGTTTTTTCTGTTTTCTTTTTCCTAATAATTTTGGAGTGACTGACTGGTGCACAGCCGACGTACATACATATGTATGTACATAGAAACGTTCATCGTTTTTGCCTGCCCACCTCCACCACCCCCTCACAACCTAGGCAGCGACAGGCGCGACCTCATCTGTTTGTTGTTGGTTTATACGTTCGTTCACTCAACATTCGCTGGTTCGTTCGCCCCTCATGGGTTCGTCGCGTCAGCGCTCTGTGCATGAGTGTTGGCGTTTGTGTGTGTTTGCCTACCTTGGTGTTGGTTGATTTACTGATTTGCTCAATGCCCAACGTCGGCAGCGACAGCGGCAGCAACGTCGTTGACTTTCAGTTGGCCACCAAACCAGCTGCTGCTGCCTCTGCTGCTGCTGCTGCGGGCTACCTCGTGGCTGCATTTGCTCATTCGTTTCCAACATTCAATTCAGTCGTACGGTAACTTTCAAGCGGAGCGGATCGTTTTAGCGCGGTTAGTAGAGACTCCAAACGGCATGGATAGATGAACTTATTTTTTTTTGCATTTGTGTAATACCTCTACCTGCCTGCATACCATATCTACTACATAGATAGTGTAGTGTGTGAACAAACGTAAAGAACCAAGTAGACAACAGCTAGCCAGCCAGCCAGTCAATTTGTAGCGAAAACCAAAACACCACCAAACCAAGCCACCTCGTCGTTCGCCCCCACAAAAATATATTTTCTGTTTATTTGTGTGTATACATACGGGCAAAGTTCGTACGCACGAAATATAAAATACCATAGCAGCAAGGAGCAGCAGCAGTGGCGAGAACGAATCTATATGTATCTGATATATATACCGACGTGCAAGCAACATATGAGAATATATACACGCGCTTGGCAGTCTGATATAGTGACCTGACAGCCTCAAAAAAGCAGCGCGCGAGACACAACCAGAGCAGCAGAGCTAGTACAGCAGCAGCGGCAGCAAAAGCTGTAGTAGAAAAATAGAAAAAATCTACAAAAAATTGGGTGTAGATTTTTTTCGGCTAACAAGCATGTGAAAAATATCTGACAAAAAAATTAGTGGAAATAAGACGTCAAATTTGTATAAAGAAATTTATAGCAAAAATCTGTAAAGAAATTTGCGAAAATAAAACTAAAACCTAACTGCGTATAAAACAAACTGACGGTCCGCAAACGCGCTTACAAACGAAGAGGAAGAAGATTCTGTGCGATACAAAAAATCAGAAAAAAAAACAACTGAAAAAAACAAATTTTAGTATAACAGAGTGTTAATGATTGCTAAAAGGTACAAAGTTGCTTAAGAAGGAGCGAAAGAAGAAAAAAAAAATATTTTAAAATATTTATGTAATTGTGAAATGCACAAAAGTATTAAAAGTAGCAAGTAAAAATTTTTAAAAGTATTTATTAGAGTGATGCAAGCGAATAAAATCTTGCAGAACGAATTTTAAATAAAAGTGCGTATTTTAATTAAAAAAAGCAAAACTTACGCCACGCTATTTTTTGCTGCATCAAATGTGCACAAAAATGTCGACAGAAATTTAAAAAATTAATTTTCTGGAAAAAATTGTGCAATTGAATTCTGCAAATTTTAAACTTTTGTGAAAAAATTTTCTACAAAAATTAGTAGAAATTTGCTTGTATCAAAAACTCAAAAAGCTGTAGATGTGTATGAAATCTTAAAACAAAACTACTTGAAAAATTCCTATACAGTACAAACTTAACTGAAGTGCTAAATAAAGAAGATAATAAAAAAACTGTAGCTCGGAAAAAGTGAAAATAGCTAAAATAATTTTAAAGTGAAATAAAATGTGAAAATAGTAGCAGAAACTAAACATATGTAAATGCAAACCACAACAGAATTAAGTGAAAAGCCAAAAACATATTTTGTGAAAAAATTTAAAGTTGAGTGAAAATAAGAAACAAATAAAAAAACTGTTTTATTAAAAACGAAAAGTGCGTAAAAAAAACAAATTGAAAAATTACAATTTTACTATCAACCAAACTGAGTTGCTCAACTTAATCCCCCCTCCCAAAAAAAAACCAACACAGTAGATACAAACAAAAATTAATAAAACCATTTCCAAAAAATAGCCCCAAAACGAAATTCAACAACATTTTTCGCTCATCTTTGTGAAGTGTGTATAATTAATTTCATACAAAATTGTCGCCAGGTACGACTATAAAATGTTTGATCCATTTGTGAAAATTAAGAAAAAGCGAAATCTAAATGTTGTCGATGTATTAGAAAGTGTTGGTGAAGTGGACGTCGCCACCGCCGCCGTCGAAACATCAGAGCAGGCGCACGTTGTGGAGGACATTGTATTGGAAGAGCCAGTAGCAGCAGTTGAAGAGCAGCAGGAGCAAGAACAGCAGCAGCAGCGCCTGCAACAACAAACGAAGCAACAATTGTTGCACGACAACGACGCACAGCGAGAGCAACAACCGCTTGAGCAGCAAGAACAGCTGCAACAGCCATCACCGTCGCCATACGCGCAACGTGAACAGCTTGAAAATTGTTTTTGCATAAGCGGTGCAGCGCTTATTGGTGCAGGGGCAGCATCGGCCACAAACACAACCCCAACTGCAGCGGAAAACTGCAACACCACCGTCACTGTGGCCAGCCCTCCTCTATCGCCCACGACCACTACAACTGCGGCCACAATAGCAGCCGCCGCATCCTCCGCCACATCACCGCTCTTGGAAGCGATTGCCAGTAGTAGTAGTAGCAGTAGCAACAACAACAACGGCAGTTCAAAGCAAATAAGCCGCCAATTTGCTAGCAGCAGCAGTAGCAACAACAGCCCGAGTAACAGCAATTGCAGCCGCCTGCAACAGTTGATTTCTACGCCACCAGTGGCATTGCGCGGGTTACCTTCATATTGCAGCGTTGATTTGCAGCCGCCGCCGCAACAACAACAACAACAACAACAGGCAAATTTAGGTCTTCAATCGGCTGCATTGCCACAGCTGCAGTTGCATTTGCAACAGCCGCCGCAGCAGCAACAGCATCAGCAAGCACCTTCGGTGTTGCAGCAACATTTGGGTCACCTAAATTTCGAAAGTGGAGCATCAAGTGGCAGCAGTAGTGCGAATGTGAGCGCCAGCAGCAGCAGCAGCAGTAGTAGTAGTAGTAGTAATACTAGTAACAACAACAATTGTAGCAGCAGCAGTAGTAGTAGCCTGCGAAGTAGCACAACAACATTGCAGCGGCACTTGGCCTCGCCAAGCAACATTCTACAGGAAGCATTCACCAATAATTTGCACAGAATTTTAAAGCGTTCACATAGTTCCTCAACGTTGGCGTCCAGCAATAACAATCACAGCAGCACATCCAACTCTGGCTCCCCACCGTCGCCGCCGTCTTCTTCAGCGATCTCGAACTCTAATTTTACCGCCTCATCCTCGGCGTCCGCCTCCTCCTCGGCCTCTCTGTTTGCCAGTGTTTACGGTGGGAGCAGCAGCAGCAGCAGCAACCATAGCAGTAGCCAACATAATCATCACCTCAATAACAGTATAATCGCCAGTCGGCTGTTTGGGCACAGCAGCAGCAGCAGCAGCAACAACCACAACAACAACAATTTTAATCAGAACAACATTAACAGCAACCTCCAACAACAGCTTACAGCGGCAAGCAGCAGCAGTAGCAGCAGCGGCACAGCTGGCGCTTCAGCCTCTACATCCAGCAGCAGCAACAGCCAGCACCGCCTGTCGCACCACAATCATCACCATCATTCCGCGCTGACAAATTCGATAACGAATCGTATAAACCAATCGATACGGCGTCACTTGAATCAGCAGCAGCAACACCACTTACAACAACAGTACAATCAGCAAGCGACAAATAACAATAGCAACAATAGCAACAACAATACAACAAATAACCACCGAATACAGCAGCAGCAACAGCAACAAATTCCACAACATTCACGTTTCTCGCAACATTCACACTACCACCACCACCAGCAGCAGCAACAACAACAACAACAACAACAACAAAACAATCAGCATCACCACTTGCAGCAACAGTTGCAACAATCAGCGCCGCATCATCATCATCAACACCAGAGTGGTAGCAGCAGCAGCAGCAGCAGCAGCAACAACAACAACAACAACAACAATCAATTGCAGCAGCACCAACAACATCATAATCCTCATCATCATAACCAACAACAGCAACAGCAACACCAACAACAACACCAACAACAATCTCCTCTGTGCCTAGTATTATTAGTTAAATGTCCGAATTCTAAGGAATTTTGTAACGCCGCTGCCGCCAACGCCGTCGCTGCTGCCGCACATTTCTGTGATAATAAAAGGTAATCAACAGTTAACAAAAGCAAATTGATAAAATTAGCATTAGTAATTGTACTCAGTTGGTGGTATGTTCATAGTGCTTCATATAATTTCATATTTCACAAAAATGTGTAGGCAGAAAAGTGATCGAGGAAATAATATTTGAAAAAGAAAAGGGTATCAAACGCAGCCGTGAAATTTGGTTGTGGTGTTGGCGCAACAAATGGCTGCCTGCCGCTTTCGTCGCGTTGCTTACAGCAATTTATATGTGCATAGTACATACATACATACATACATATGCACATATATCTTCATTTGCCCACCATTCCTGCCTTTTGCCCATACATATATGTATAACTATGTATGTATGTATCTTATGGCATATCGTTTGCTCCAAAAGTTCATCGCGTGCCCTAAATTCGTTCGAGGCCGCTCCTAAGCGCTTTTTCTGTTATAGTTGCCCTTAATGCACAGTGGGTCGAATGGGAGAAAAAGTCGGAAGTAAAAATTCAGGTCGTTGAATTGGCCTACTTTTGATATTCTCCACAATTTTTTATTTTTTTTTGGATTAACCACTTTTTTAAGTCTTAAAGTTATTTGTTTACTTGTTTTAATACGTAATTTTTTAAATTTTTGAAAGGAAAATACGATTAAGTTAAGCTATTTAATATGCAATGGAAATACATCAATTTGTGGGAATAGAAATTATCGAAATAAAATGAAATGATTTGAAGTTTGAGTAAAAATTAAGTAAAACGAAAATGAAATAAATTAAAACGGCCCATATCGATTTTAGGTGAAAAGAACTGACAATGAAATGAAATAAAATGAAGTGAAGGGCATGAAATGAAACGATATGAAAAATATGACAACGAAGAAAAAAGTTCTACATATCGAAATATTTGAAATTAATCCTCATGAAATGGAATGTACATATGAGCCCAACATGAAATGCAATGAGTAGTCGAAATAATCCTTGCGGATTTGTATTCCAAATTCAAAGTATTTTTCACATATTCCTTTTATTTAGAAGCGCACCTCATTTTGCCGACGGCGCTTTTGCCAGTTTTGTTTGTGGTCATACCGAAATCCCATAACCGTAGAACTTCTCTAATTTCTGAGAAAAAAACAGAATAAGTGATTTTGATAGGCCTCCTTTCAAAGCAACTAAAAAATGTTTTTTTCATTTTTAACAGACTTCCAAAAAAGGAGGAGGTTATCATTTCGTCTGAATATTTTTTTTTATGTATTGTGTATTTTTTCGGAAAGCTAGTGTCTCAGAGATGGTCCCATACTAATCTGGTTAGGATCCGATCAGTGGATCATGAGATATATATATATACATATATATATATATAATTTTTTCCAACTATAATAATCGTTAAATTTGCACATTCATAATATGATACACTGAAAATAAGCTATTTTATTTCATTATATTATGCATTTTTCTCCAATGAGCGAGAGCACACATCTACAAAAAATAAGTCACCTTTTCTCTGTGGTGGGATATTTTTTCTCTGAAATAGTAAGAGTTATTTTGGGACACTTACAAAGTGGAGAGAGTTATTTTCGAACTCTGGGTAAATTATGATTTTCATAGATCATAATCTTCAGGGTCCTTGCGTTATACAGCACAACACTTTTTATGTTGATTTATACTGATCGGTCTCAATCGCTTGACCAGTAGTAAATTTTTGTAATGGACAATTCCCTTCCACTCTCCCACCAAACACATAACATCAAGTTCCAGGCTTCTCTGTACGTTACGTACGAACCAGTTTCTATTATGCCAAATCTTTTAGTGGATTCATACATGTATGGCGCCTTCAGTTACACCTTTGTTTTGTATGATTCCGTAATTAATGGGGTACCCAAATAGCGAGTTTCTTTTTAGTGTTCAATCTTTTCCAATTGCTTTCAAACTATTTCTTCAGGGATTTTTAGTTGTCTATCGAGACCGAAAAAAGAATTTAGTCTACTCAGAAAAACGCCAGCTAAATATATATCTCTCAATACATGATTTCGTAACGTTAACCCAGTAATAATGTAGCTGAGACCAAATCATGTGTTGAGAAAAACATATTTAGTTGACGTAGCTTAACTATTTTCTCATCGTACTTATATCACAAACTTCTAAATCGTCAATCTTTCTCCACCAATTGGGAGTAAGCGAACCATTCTCATACCACTGTCACTTGCATACCTGCTGCCCTTAACCCCACCGCACTAACATCACCAGCACCTCCATCGCTTTGACGTGAAACCTATTTTTGGTTTTTGTATAGCGCATAGTTTGTTATTGTTATTGCTGCTATCTAATAATGTGTGGTTGTTGTAACTAGTATTTCATCACTAATACAACAATACCAATAACAATAACAATCGCTACAGCAACAAGTAAATTCTATTACTTGTATTCAACAGCGCATTTTCATATTGATTGACACACTTTGCCTGCGCTAATTGTGAGTGAGTGAGTGAGGCGGCGGCGGCGGCACGGCGGCGACGTAGGCGGTGGCGTACATTTTCCAGCTATGGAATACAATATGAGCACGTTGCTGCTTTCTGTAGCTCCTTAATAGGGCTGCCTGCTTGTTTTTTTTTACTAACTCCTCATTTGTCCATATGGGGGAAAAATGCCAGTATGTAGATGGATATGCAATATTGGTAGTCGACGTCATCTTGTGCCTGTGTAGTAGTTATAGTAGTTCGCTTTGGCGCCTGTCAGTTCCACTTGGGCTTCTAATATTCTTCAGGTTGCTCAGCGCTATGTCATTCACACTAAACACCATTTCGTTTTGCTAAAATACAAATATTTCTTTTTTTAAACATATGTAAATTTTCTTCACTTCTCAATATCTTCCTTTCTTTTTTTTTTTGTTGCTCTGCTCTTTAGGTAGCCTTTCTACCAACACAGCAGCTAATTTCTCTTTTACGAGTTAGCACATTCTTAATTGGGTTAATTTGACTTTCTGTAGAATTTGCTGCCGACTCCAGCAGCGCCTGCTCTCATTTTTCTTTACATACATATATATCTGTTGCTCTGCTTGTTGCTGCTGATTAAAATGTTTTAGTGCCGCTTGCGTGCTGCTTTCATTCTTAAGTATGCTTTGTTCTTCTTTTTATGTTTTTTATTTAATTTTTTCAATTTTATTTTATTTTTACTATCCACATGCCTGCTCGTGTCTCGAATCATTATTGTTATTCTTTGTTGATTTTTTGTCTGCTCTTTTATAGCTTTTGAAGGACATTTATTCAGTCGAGGCTCTCAGACGCCTTTCAAACGTGCCACCGTCGTTTCGATTTCTTTTTTATGTATATCCTGCCAATGCTGAGCTTATTCAGTGTTCCTATTATGTATAGTTTCTATATGTGTATGAAGCACTTCAGTAGATATTGTCACTGCTCCCTGTTGCTGTGGCTATGTGCTGCGTGTGCTCAATAACTCGCTTCTATTTTCTTGCATGCGATAAATTAGTTTAGTTACTCATCACAGTCATTTCATATTCCATTCTGTTGGTCAGTCGGCCAACTAAGTGTCTCATAAATATTGCATATTTTTTTATTGTACAAATTTAGTTTCAAGCTTTTTTTTTTTTAACCGCACTCATCCGCTGCTGATGTATCTTTTTTCTATTGCTAGTTGTTTTTTTTTTCTTCTTTTTTTTTTTTGTAGTTTCATTTTTTACTTTCCACTTGCGTGGGCGCCAACGCTTAAGCTCGTGCGTTTGGTTGTTTGCTTTTCCGTTGAGCTTGTTGAGTTTCTTTTTTGAGGTCACAGGTCAATTTTATTCACCGCGACCCAGCGTGTGCTACTTTTTACGCCTGCATGCAACTACTTGCCCCCTTCATGGCGTTTTGAATGCTTTGAAAATTTGTTTTCGTGTCCGTACACATGTGAGCGTTTCACGTCAGAGGATATGAAATCCTTTTCAATTACAAATCACCAATTTGGCTATGAATTTCATTAGTAGTACTAGTCGCCTCGAGCTAAATAACTTTAATTGGGTTAAGAGGTTGACTGTTGTGCTTGAAGGGGAAAAAAGTGTAAATGAAATACAAAAATATTAAATGGCGTTGGCAAGCGAGACTTAGGGCAAACAGACGAAGGGAGGAAAGGTTAGAAATTGGATTTGAGTAAAACGCTTTGAAGTAGAATTAAACGAATTATTTTGGAATGAAAAAAAAATATATATATCGATTTAAAGTACAGTAAGGAAATGAAAAGAACGGATGAGCAGAGAAAGAAAAGAGCAGAAAACGAGAAGCGAAGGAGAATAGAAGAATAGTCGGGTTAAGTAATCGGGGCGACCCAGATTTATATCTGGTCAAGAACTGCGACTTCAGCAACATTCCCCAAAACTTACTATTATGCTGCTACAACATTAACAACAAAAGAGAAGGAAAAGAAAAGAAATATTAGGGAAGGAAGGGAATTGTAAGTAAAGGAGTGGAATGAAAAGAAAAAAGCGGATGGAAAGAAAGTCAAAGAAAGAAGAAGGGAAGGGAAAGGAAGAGAAAATAACGATAGGGGTAGAGAAGTGAAATAAAGGAAAGGAGACGAGGGGAAAGAAAGGAAAGCAAAAGATAGAAATGAAAAGAAAATAAAAGGAGAGTAGGGAAAGTGAAATGATGCAAAACAAATACCAAGGAAATATAAGGAAAACGAACGGGAAATAAGGAAGGGAAAGAAGTGGAGAAGGAAGGCAAGGAATATAAAAGTGAATAAAGGGAAGGTGTACGACAGCAAGGAAAGAAAAAGGAAGGAAAAGAAAAGATAGGAATGGAAAGGAAAGAAAAGAGAATTAATACGAAGGAAACGAAAGGGCAAAAAGAAGGAAATGAGTTGAAAAGAAATGAACAGAAGGAAAGTAAGGAAAAGTGGAAAGGTGACGATAGGAATGAAAGGAAAGCGAAAGATAGGAATAGATAGCAAAAGATAGGAATGGAAAGAAAAGGAAATAAATGCAAAGGATTCGAAAGGAAAAGTAAAGAAATGAAAATGAAATTAAAAAAGTAAGGCAAAAGGTAGAAAAAGGAACGGGGGTAAAAGAAAAGAATATGCAATAGAAAAAATACAAATGGTGTACGAAACAAAGAGGAAAAGGAAAAAAAGATAACGAAAGGAATGAAAGGAAGAAAAAAACAGAAGGGAGGAATAAAAATTAAAAAATTTAAATATAAAATAAAAATACATAATGGCATTTGCTTTTCTCGAAAAACATGTCACCCTCTTATATGGCAACATTATCAGGGTTTAACATTTTAAGGAAAGAGCACGCAAAATAAATATGAAGAACAGCACTGGCGCAGGTCAGAATAAATGCAACATTATTTCGCGAAAAGAATGAAATATATAAAAAAATTAAAAGAAAAACAAGAGTAGAATTGAATAGTTAAAAAATTAAAAAGAGCATATAAACAAAAAAATCTAGACAGCGATAACAGTAGAATAAGATAAAATTTAAAAAATAAATAAACATATTTGAGAATTTATAAAAAAAAATATAATTACGTA